TCGGAAAATTGTCTAGCAATCTCGTTACTGTACTCCACGCAGCCCAAATTTCGTAAGAGTAAAGATGATGGTGGTTCAGCACAGTCTGGGAAGTAGTTACTTCCACCAGTTTTCAGAAAAATGTTTGGAACCTGCTTTTGATTAACTAGCGCTTCGCTGGATGCGATGTATATAAATGTCAAAGCCATCATTTCGAAAAGGAAACTTAAAGCACCCCTCTAAATGGCTCGTATTCCGAGCACTGTTCTTTTTAAGGAACTTTCAAAACAGCCTTGTTTCTTCTGTTCTGTTTGTACCTCCTGCAAACTTTACAATTAAGTCCAATCAGCTAAACCCAGTGGTGTAGTTGATAGAGGCTATGACGGTTTGCGCTTTCTTTCATTTGCAACGTGTGAAAACAGAAATATTTGCTAAAATTTAATCTCTTTTCTATCTTTTCTAATTTTCAGATTACGTAACGTCTGCAAGAAGAAAAATAAATGAATTCGGTGAAGTTTACTAGTCTAAGCTTTACTGATGATGTTTGAAAGAAGTCCGTATACACTCCACTAATTACCAAAGGCGAACCACATATGAATAACCATGATGCTGTGCTCCTAATGCAGTATAGGTGTATACGAGCCAGTTTTCCTTAGAAAGCCTTCCACGAAGGCATCCCTCCCCTTAGGCAGATAGCCCTCGAGGATTTGCCGTAATTAAATAACCTAACCTAACCTAATGCTGTATAGAATAGTTGCCTTTGGATAACGCCGCCTCGCAAAACAAAATTATGAACACTTTTAAATACACGAAGTCAGTCTTCCCAACACTGAAATAACATATATGTGATATGACTTGATGGTCAATGGAATTACATCTTTTACTCCTGGAACCCCTCCCTTTACTACTTATATCACTCTGTTTTCGATTTAATTTTGTAGTTTTACCTTATGTTTTAAATCTTGTGTCATATTATTGTATTCACTAATACGCGTTATGTAAAAATTATACTTGAAAAGAAAAAATGTTGAAATGAATGAAACTAAAACTGCAGTGAGGTTTTTATCTATCAGCGTAGGAAAGTCTCTTTTTAATTATTGGACGCTTTATTTAATAGCTATTAGCCTTGCACCTCTACAAGGCCCAAAAGAGGTGGCCATTTCATTATGGAAGCAACTATTATGGATCACCGTTGCTTCCAATAAAAGGACGGATCCGGGATTTGAACCCGGGCCTATCGCTACGGCAGTCAGGGTCACTATCCACTATACCGATTAAGAAGCTTTTAGGTTCTGAAAATGAAAAGGGAAAATACTTGCATATGTTTTGACTTCCAAGCTTGTTTTACTTAAATAAGTTTTAGTAGGGCTGTCAAAGCGTGTTATAAATTATTTCTGGATGCTTAATTGCGTTATTAAGGGAGCTAACTTTACGAGTTTAAAGTATTAAATAAATAAATATTTTTGGTATCGGATTTATCGTGTGAAGTGGATTTTTGAAATAGTTTGCAACATTGACTGCTCTTTTGGGATATATGGATTTAACGCAATTTAAGATTTACTTTTGCAAAATAATTTGCATTTTAATACATATTTTACATATAAATTGTGAAAAATAAATTGCTAACTTTTATTTGCAAAAGATTACAAATGCCTTACTGAATTCGTTTATTTCTCCTTTCTTTAATAATAATAAAAATAATAATATAATTATTCCTTCAATTAATAATTGCTCCTTTAATTAATAAATAAATTATTTCTTTAATTTTATAATAATTCATTTATTATAATTATTCCTTTTAATTTAATTATTAATTATAATACATAAATAAAGGTTCAAAATGTTCATATATTTTGTTTAAAACTTGAACCCCATTAAACTGAATATCTATTAAATGCCTCAAAACTGCTTCATTTTAGAATTCACCCTTCTTTTATGATTCGTATATAATGCTCCTGAAGTACATGCTTATTTTAAAGGTTTGGTTTAGTTAATTACAACAAAGCGAATGAAAGCTATCTGCCTGAGGGGTGTAATGCATTCGTGGATGATTTTCTAAGGGAAACTGGATCCTATACACAGGTGACAGGTGACAGGTGACGGAGGACGGGGACGCCTGGTGTTTAACAGAGGTAAACAGGCATATGTCCCGCGCCCTCCCCTATCTACCGGAGGTTTATTGAGATCTTAAAAGATTTATTACATTGCCATACAGGGGCAGATGAGAGATACATTGGCTATTTATATTGTATTACAGATTTAGGTTTGCAAGGTATACGTTACATAACATACTGGTTACACATTTAAGAAAAAAAAAAAGAAAAGAAAAGAAAAAAAATATTAACATAACACATACATGACATGACACATAAATACTATTAATAAAGAAGGTACATGCGCTTAGCAGAAGGAAGATACTGTATTTCCTTAGATGCAGAGGAGTACTTACATTCACTTAAGACCCTGAATTAGTGGGGTTGGCATAGGTCTTGCCCCAGGGCGGTTATCTGGCTGATTATTCTGCAGATGGTATTCACTGTGCCTTTGTTATTAACGATGAATCGTTTGAAGGCTATTTGGTTGTCTGCTGGCAAGTGGAGGTGATTATCCTCCGTGAGCGGGCATTCAAAGATGTAATGGTCTGGAGTTCCGAGCGACCCACAGACGCACAAGCCTGTATGAGAGATACCAAATCGCTCAAAATAGGTGGGAAAAGGCCCGTGCCCCGAGATGTAATTAGTGATGGGAGGTATGGAGTATTGGCGCTCCGTTTTCACTCTAGGCAGAAATAAATTGGTTCTGCGACCCGTATCACAGGTCTCCCATTCAGCTTGCCACTTCTGCAGACCTTTTTCCTTAAGAGTTCTCTTGAGATACGAGGGTGGCGCTGGAATAGTTACCATCTGTGCAGCTATGTTGCTTGCTGCCTCCTTTGCCAGTTGGTCAGCTGTCTCATTACCCTCGTTGTTAACGTGTGCCTTAGTCCATATTAAATTTACAGTTAGTTGAGGATGTGATTGTAGAATATTCTGGAGGTCCGCTACCAATGGGGAGGTGTGGTTATGGTTGACTAGGGCGAATAGCGTTGACATGCTATCTGTAAACAGCATTGCATCGGTGATCCCGCTGTCAATTGCATGCTGAATCGCAGTGGTAATGGCTATGACTTCAGCCTGGAATGTACTGTTTATTGGTTGAAGATGCCCCTTCCACTCGATTTCCTTGCATCCTCCGTGGTACAGGACGAAGGCACTACCTGTACCCTCGTCGAGCTTGGATCCATCTGTATAGTACTGCATTGGGTACCGTGGATCCTGTATTGTAATTTGCTCGTCCACTTCTGCTGACGTGAATCCTTATATTTCTTCCCTTGTGCGCAGGGTGCGTCTCCAGGGTATTCTTTGGATGCTCATACTGAACTGGACTATAAGTGTTTCCGCAGAAGGTACTTTCCTTCTTTAAATGGATAACAGTAGCATAAGCAGCTTCAGTTTCTGCGCGTATGTGCAGTGGCATTAGACCAGATAATACCACTGCTGCACTAGTGGCCGTTGTTCTGTAGGCCTTACACAAGAGTAAGGCGTAAGGTCGTTGTATAATTCCCAGCTGTTTGACTTTTCTACCACTCATCGGATTGGCCCATATTGCTGAAGCGTAAAGGGCTATTTTCTCTGAGACTGTGAGATAAAGAATTTTCTGTATGTGGGGATTTTGACCCCAGTTTCGCCCCTGAAATAGGCGGGCTTTTCTTGCTATTTCGGAAGTTCGCTGTTTAATACTTTGGAGGTGGGGAATCCATGTTAATTTGTTGTCCCACAGAAGGCCAAGGTACTTTAAGGTGTTATTGATTTTAATGTTCCTCTGCATTAATTTGATGCATGGTTTGCGTCTCAGGTTGGCTCTTTGCTTCGGTATGATCAGGGCACAGGACTTTTCAGCAGATAGTTGAAGTTTAAGTTTGCCGCAGAGTTCTGCAAAGAGTGCACAAGACTCGGTGCCATTCTTCTCAAGCTCGTCGCGGGTTCTTCCTTGTACTAACAGTGCGGCATCGTCAGCGTAGGCGACGATGGACGTATGTCTTGGCCATGTGGCCTCCAGGATGGCGTTGAAAGTAATCGTCCAAAGAATCGGTCCCGCACACGAGCCTTGCGGACAGCCCCTTTCTTGGTGTTTAGTAGTAACTCCGTTGTTATGAGTTATTAGTAGACTTCTGTCCTGCAGGTAGTGGCAGAGGACGCTGTAGAGATTGATGGGGCAATTGCGCTTTCCTGAGTGCCTGCTTGATTGCTGGCCACCAGAGTGTATCAAAGGCACTCTGGAGGTCCAGCGAGAGATGAAGGCGGTGTGCAGGTTGCCTGATCTATTCCTTTGTATTTCCTCCAAGATAGCGTGCAGAGCATGAGTGGTGGATTGTCCAACTCTAAAGCCGAATTGTCTATTACTGAGATAGCGGCTGCGATGAAGGTGAAATCTGAGTCTATTGACTATTAACTTCTCATATATCTTCCCTAGGGAGGATAGAAGGCATATTGGCCTGAAGGAGCGCGGATTTTCTGCATCTTTATTCTTTTTTAAGAAGAGGACGACTTGTCCCTCTTTAAAGACGCGAGGGAAAACTCGATGGTGCAAGAGCTGATTGAAGAATTTAGTAAAGAAGGATGGTCTTGCCTTGTAGGCTATTCTAAGGATGTTATAATCGATGCCATCGGGTCCCGGTGCCTTTTTGAGAGGGAGATGGCGGTAGATCTGTCTGATTTCTGAGTCACTGAAGGGCTCGTCGGCTGGAGTTGCTGGAGGTGTTGAGTCTGCACGTATCTCCCTTTGCTCTGTTGTGTCCTGTGTTGGATCGTCATTCGGGAACAGTGCGTCTAAGTAGGTGGCAGCTGTGGCTCCTGCGATGTCTGTTGTAAGAGAGGGGTGGGCGAAGATCTGTGATGGCTGGTAGATTTTATTAGTCGACAATTTATGGAGGACGCTGTATGGATTGTTGTTATTCTGCGTGCAAAAAGTTCTCCAACTTGTTATCTTTGCTGCGAGGATGTTCTTTTTGTATGATGCCCTTTCCTTACGGAAAATTGAAAGGTAGTGCATTTTTGTGTGTCCTCGTCGGTTGCTGTTCTTATTCTGCGCCTTAGAGCACGACATTTCTGACGCTGTTGCCTGAGTTCTTTACTCCACCATGAAATGCTGTGCCGTTTCTTGGCAGCTCGCGTTGGAAGCAAATTTGAGCAGATGGTCTTAATATTATCCAGAAGATGTTCTGTAAATTCTTCCATCTCGTCTTTGCCGTTGTAGGCTTCTAGTGTCTCCTGTTCTGCTGTTAATAAAGTAGAGAAGGCTGCTGTCAGAGGACGGATTTTGGCTTTTGGTAACTTAAAGCGCTTTAAAATACAGATGTTGGTGTCACAGTTGATTGTGAAGGTTATGTAACGGTGATCCGAGCAGCTTAGTTCGTCGCTAACTTTCCAGTCCTGTACTTGCGATAGAGCCGTTCCTGTTGCCAGGGTGACATCTGGCCAACCTTTGCAGTACGTATTATCAAAGGTAGGGGGTGCGCCGCTGGTATTGACCAAATGTAGGTCGTTTGCTGTTAAGTAGTCCTCTAGCGCTTGTCCCTTGGGAGTGATATCTTGGTATCCCCAGTTTACATGATGCGCATTAAGATCACCCCCATAGACTTGTGGCGTTGAATGGCATTTAGATCGGACGTACGTTGCGTTTGCTACGAAATTGTCGATGGAATCTGTTGGGGAGGAGTACGCAGATATAAGAATCAGTTGTGCATTTTTGAGCACAATTAAAACGGCAAACAAGTCTCTGTCCTGTTTAATTAGCAGCGGATTCCAGGCTGGGTTACAACATATTAGACCCGCTCTTGGTGCTTGATCTTGGTTCCTTGCTTTTGACTGGAAGACCTGCCATGCTATAGGGAAACCTGCAATGCGTCCTTCCTGGCAGTACGGCTCCTGGATCATCAGGAAGTCTACAGAATGCTCCGTTGCATGTTGTATCGCCTGTGCTGTAGCAACTTCTGCTCTTTGCAGGTTTATTTGTGTGCAGCGGATTATCTGTGCTGTCGTAGGGTTATTTGATACTGTGGGTATCGGTTGATTATTACTTGTTGCTATTAGTTGGCTGTTAGTACGCTGTGCTGCGTTGTTGCCGTTCAATATATCGTGCGTATGTCGGGCATGAGGCTGTGTATGCTGCATGCGCGGTATTGATTTTACCACGTGTTCTGAAATTAAAATCGGCACAGTTGATGCAGGTTGGTCTGCTGGCTCTGCATTCCTTAACGCTGTGACTTCCTGAGCAGAAGGCGCAATGTTGCTGGAATTTACATTCACTTTGTAGGTGTCCGAATGCCTGACATCTATAGCATAGCACCGTCGCGTATTAAAATATTCTGAGATTCTGTAGACTCTCCATCCGAAGCTGATCTTTTTGAGTTGCGTAAGCTTGTCGTATGTCCGCAGGTTCGCATTGGATAATCCACTTTGTTCCATTTCGTCCTTCTTTTAGTCTGTACAGAACCTTTGCTGTGGACTTTGTAAGAGCAAATTCTGAAGCTAGAGTCCTTTCGACCTCCTCCCTCTGTACTTCTGGCGGTACAGCGTGAATTGCAACCCTAGGATGCCTTTTTTCCGGGAGTTTCGTCTGTACAAGTTTTTGACCTTCTTCACTGCCCAATGTATTGGCTAGTTTAGAGAGGTCTTCTTTTGTGGGGCAATCTACTGCCAGTCCTCCTTTTTGGATTTTCCTTATTGCATTAACTCTAACTCCTAAGGTAGCAAGGGGGAATTTTTCATTCAAGGTGGCTTTTAGATCTTTGCCTGTTCCTTTGGCGTCTTGGGCCGGATAGATCAGCAGAGTATGGGTTCTGGGTTTTCTAGACTGGCTGGGCTTCTGAATCAGCTTTGCTGCCTCCGCAAAAGATCTTGGGATGGGAACCTGGGGAATTACAGCTGTTTCTACGTCAGTGAAAGGGCTTGGTGCTGCTGAATCACTTGGTCCTGCGTTAGGTTGGAAGTGCGCTAAGCCGCAACAGACGAGGGTAGATGTGTTTGTGCCTGCCTCGTGTGTTGGCGGTTTTGGACTGAAATCTGGCCCTTCGAGTGCCAACCCTTTTAGCACTTCCAGTGAATCCTTGAGCCTGTTCCTTAAGACTTGGGAAAGAACGTGTTTGCCTCCTCGATAAGTGTCGGCAATTAGACTGATGTCCCTTGCTAGAGCTGCAATTCGCTCTTCGCGTGTAAGCTCAGACGTCAATAAGGCCTCCGTATCCAAGTTATCTTGTGAGGTAGTTCCTGCTTTATCTGATAAAGTTGTCGGACGTGTCATGTCAGAGTGGAACACAGCACTGAGCAATTATGCGCTGAACACTAAAAGACTAGCACTTAGCACTTCGAGATGACACTTGCGTCACACTTGGTGAACTTATAACACTTGACACACTTTAACACACTTTTAGCACTATTGCACGATTGTGCCTCTCTGGGTATCTTGGCAGACAGACTTCTCTGTTCTTCATCTGATATTAATTAGTTGAAATCTAATAATTGTTATCCACGGTAAATGTATTTCTAACTTTGACACACACACACTTGCACTATATAAACACTGCACTGCACTGAACTCTGCTATTTATTTCTAACTTTGACACACACACTTGCACTATGTAAACACTGCACTGCACTGAATTCTGCTATTTATTTCTAACTTTGACACACACACACTTGCACTATGTAAAAACTGCACTGCACTGCACTGAATTCTGCTTATTTAATTCTAACTTTGACACACACACTTGCACTATGTAAACACTACTGCACTGCACTGAATTCTGCTACTTATTTCTTTCTAACTTTGACACACATACTTGCACTATGTAAAAACTGCACTGAATTCTGTTATTTATTCTAAGTTTGACACACACACTTGCACTATGTAAATACTGCACTGCACTGAATTCTGCTATTTAATTCTAACTTTGACACACACACTTGCACTATGTAAACACTGCACTGCACTGAATTCTTCTACTTATTTCTAACTTTGACACACACACTTGCACTATGTAAGCACTACACTGCACTGAATTTTGCTAAGTCCAATAAATAGAGGAAAAAAATGTATCTCCGGATCTAATTATCGGAATGACACCAAATTTGGAAACTTCTGTCCGCGAAGGTGAAGTATGAGTAATGGCGTTGGTCCCAGATTGGTGCGTCGAGTTGTTCTTTAATTACTACGTTGAATGATCCTATACACATGAGGAAAGCGACGAAGACGCCAACCCTTTCGCTCAGATTCCTACCCTGGACCGAACGACCAGTATTCAGCGAATTTTCCGCTCGGCCACTAGTAGGTTAGGTTAGGTTATTTTAATTATGGCAAAGTCTCAAGGGCCATCTGCCTAAGGAGAGGGATGCCTTCGTGGAGGACTTTCTAAGGGAGACTGGCTCGTATGCACGTTACACATGGGGAAAAACACGAAAACAACCATGCCGCCAGCCCGTTCGCGGAATTCGAAAATCAGACCGAACTACCAGTGTTCAGCGACTTTACCGCTCGGCCGCTGGTGGGCTCTCGGCCGCTGGTAAGCCCATCGTATATGAACGTGTAGCCTGTAAAAATGATAGGATAATATTTACGAACTAAACCTGCTGTCAACTATTAGTAATAAATTGAAAGAGAGGAAGGTATTATTCTTAAATTAAACTTCACATCGGAATCAGGGCATATCTTTTGTCTTTCTTTTCTACTTACATGTGCCCGTTTATCTTTCTTAAATTAAATGCTTTTAATTGAAATGATTAAAATTGATCAAAAATGATTAAAATAAGGGTAACTGGTCACGAACTGGGGCAAAGGTGCATATTTCGATGCTCAAAATTTCACTGTTATCCGTGCGAAACATTTGTGTAACCATCCAACGACTCCTGCTATAATAATCCGTTTTCATGTTATCCGAAAGTATTTTTCCTCACGTACATACATTGATTTTCATTATCATTATAAACGCCTAATTTAAAAAATCAATTCTATATACCCGTTACATGCGTGCTAGCATTTATGAGGATGATATAGACAATATAATTTGACTACTCAACTGATATATAGCATCTGAGAATGTTAAATTACTAAAGTCATTGATTGCGCCTAAATTATGTTTCCGGTGTAAGAATCATGACTTAAATAAGTGCTAGTTTCGATTAGCGTAAAATAATTTATAACTTTTGAATCTTAATTAGCATATTGCACATTTACTTATTTTAGAATGCTTGACAAAATGCCTTGTGATGACATCACATCAATAAAGGGTCGCAGAATTGTTCCCTCTTCCTGGTAAGTCTCATTATTGGTGGAGTTTCTACCTCATCAATCAAAAGTTACTTTAACCAGCAATTACCTTATAAGCATCAACTTAGATATCTTAGTTTCCCGAAGAATTTCACCCCTTCAGTTTAATCCTAATTTAAAAATCCTAAATTTTCAAAAGTGATTCGATTAATCATTGCTTTATCAAAATTTGCATTTGCCATTTAACTCTTACGTTTATAAATGAACTTTTATAAGAGCATTTTTGTAAAATCTTTAAAGAGCGACTTAAAGAATCATAACATTTTTTTTTTTTGAGAGTGATGTTAAGATTATACTCCGGTCTTATGTCAATTCATTTAGAACTGAATATTATTCCATGGCAAATACTAGTCAAAATATCATACGGACTCCACACGACTTCCTTGTATGAACTATTAAAATAAACACAGTATTTTCTGCATTTTATTTATACTTATTTCCTCGAATTCAATGGGCGGAGAGGGGAGGATACGGACGGGACGGGTGATACACGGGAACGGGCGTTTTGGTATTTTAAATAAACGGGTTAACGAAGGCTTCGGTTTTCTAAAGGTTAAACCAATAAAAAAGTTAAAACTATATAAATTAATTGGTTATAAAAAGTATTTTTATATAATTTGAAAGAAGAAACTGATTCGATTTATAGAAATTTGTATAACTTGTAGGGATTTCTATTTATTTTAACTAATAATTTAAAGTTTTATTTGAAACTTTCCTATAAGCCTTCATTCCCCTAAATGTCAGTGCCAGAATAGTTAAATGTTGTAGCACGCGGGAAAGAATGCAAATTTTCCATTTTGAAGGAAGTAGTTAAAAGCCGAGTTTCGGCAGGAGAAAAAGAGAGTTAGGCTCTAGCTAACGTCTCTGTTGTAGGTACGTTTGATTATTGCTGGTTCAAGTGGTTTTATTGCATTGCTTTACTGCCACTAGTTTAGAATCTGTTTGAAATTACAGGATCTTGCTGAGCCCTGTAGGCTAATTTTATCACTTGTTAATATTTCGACTTTTAGTTTCAATTGTCTGACTTTCAGTTACCGCCCAAGTAGAGGCGAAGTTTGTTAGCGTCGAGTTGACGCATTGTAAATTTTAAAGAGTTGATAAAGGGTACGTGGACCCTTCTCCTGTGTAGTTTCCTGCTACTCAGGTATACAGATAGAAGTTAACCCGCCTGGACTCTACAAACACTGAAATTCAGATGTTTGAGATTATATTGCAGTTAGAAGCAAAATGTTTAGAAGAACGTTTTAGCTATAAATTGTATTACCATGAGAGGTAAATATTTTGAAGTGAATCAATTATATTAAAATTTCTAACTCAAACCATCTCCCTAGAACAGTAATGGCAAACTAATGACACGAGGACCCGTTTCGGGAGCAACATAGCCCACATTTCCAAAACGATCCACAGAGACAAAAAGTTGTTATAATAGAAAATACCTTTCTCGTGCAATGGCTTCGTCATTGTCAACATATGATGCATTTACTTTGTTCGCGTTCGTGTGCATGGTTGGCAGACGGAAGGATAGCATATTTTATATGTGTTGTTACACCAGCACAAGCCTTAAACTAGGGTTTTCAGAATTTTGGCTCGTAGATCTCAGGAAATTCGCCATAACTCCGTAAGACAACCTCTTGTAAAAGTAACCAAGCGTAATAAAGATATTTACCATTACTTCAAGTTCTATAGTATAACTATAGTTAAGACACAATTCCTATATTTTCCGTGCTCTTCAAGTTTGCTCCTCCAAACTAGCCCTTGATGAAGAACTAAATTATTTAAAAGCAATAGCTATTGATAGGGGCTTTTCACCTAACATTATTAATCAAGCAGTTAAAAAATTAACACTCAA